TCGCAAACATTCAAATCCAACATTTAATGAGCTCTATTAAAATCTGAGACGGGTTATATAATTAGTTCGCATTATCTTTGTTGTTTCATATAGTCGCATGAAAAATACGTTTGCTAGGTAAAAACAAAGAGAAAGTGAGATTTTTTCTCTCTACACAAACAAAGTTCGTCCTAACCGCCAACTTCAACTCGTCGTATTTGCCTATCCGGCGTCCAGCTACCTCCGGCGTTGTTAGAGGCCTCGCTTTCATCATTTTTGTGGCCAACGGCGCTTCCTCCGGAGTGAAGACTCTTTTTTCTGATATGTTCTTTGCGGTTTATCCTTCTTTCCGACGGTAGTTCATGGTGGCGAGGTTCGATGTTGCGGTGTGGAGGTGGATCTGAAGATCTAGTTTCGATGTGGTGGTGAGTGGTCCCTTGGGTGTAAATGAGGCGGATGTCTCTCCTTCCGTTAGATCTGTTTTGGAGAAGGCAGATCTTGCCGTCAGTCAAGTTCTCATGTTGTTGTCAGATCCCAGGTGATCTTATCTCCATCTTCCTCTGCTCTTTCTCCTGGGTCCAAGTAAAGCTTCGATCTCGTCTCATGGCTCCAACCCTTCCCGTCTCTGCTCCGGTTTGGTGCTCAAGCTCGTGGTGGTGGAACTCGAATCTGCGATAACAGATCTTGGATATGCTCCGGGTTATTGTGGAGGTATTCTGTCCGTCTCGCTTCATCTCTTTGGCGGCTGCGCTTGGTGTAGGTTGTTGTCTCCTCTGCGGAGATTGGAAGATCCGGTGGGTCTAGATTGTTGGCCCACCTCTCCAGCCGGTGGATCTTTCGACATGAGATGTATGGGTTTGGTTTGGCTCGTATGATTGTGGATCTACCAGATCTATGCCATCAATCTTCGTTTGGGTCTGTAGCCTAGCTCACTATCTAAGCCGTTGGCTTATGTGTTCATCGGAGTTCAATGCGGCGGCGATTGGCCCCTCTGCCGGTGGTTGGGTTCTTTGTTGGCGGTAGATTAGAGTTTTGTTGTTTGTCTTGTTTTGTTGCGAGTTTTGGTCCATTAACATAAAAGATAAAAGAGTCCTAACCAGATCAAATTATGAGATTGTTGGTTAGGTATGTACTGATTTGTACATAAAAAAATCCAAAAAAGTTAAAAAAAAATATTAGTCTAATAAAAAGTTTCAAAAAAACAAAAAAAATGAAAAATACGTTTTCTAATTAAAGTCGTATATTTCGTTTTCTAATTATTTATGTTTGTTGGGTCTACTGGCCATATTATTTCCACGTGAGAAGAACACTCGAACTTAATGCCAACAGAGTGATCGTTACGGCAGATTCGTTTCTTAATTCAAAACCATTAATTTTTTCGCCTACCAAACAAAAAAGGATCAGTTTTGTGAAATAGCAAAGAAAAAAATTAAAACTAAATAACTAACCAAAAGTGGCAAATTTATGACCATTAAATTTAAGGTTTTTGGTGAGTTATTAGGTTTTAATTTTTTTCTTTGCTATTCCACAAATTATTCCAACAGAAAGGTCAATTTGTGAAATAGCAAAGAAAGAAATTAAAACTAAATAACTAACCAAAAGTGGCTAATGTGATAAATTTATGGCCATTGAATTTAGGGCTTTTTGGTTAGTTTGACTTGTTTATTCATCTGAGAAAACTTTGACTTGTTTATTCATCTGAGAAAAAATGAAAAAATTTAACGGGCTTTTTATCAACTATTAGTAGGCTTCTTTTAATTGGGCTTAATAAATCTGACCTTTTTCCTAAACGATGTCGTTTGACTTAGACTAACGCGTTTCCGTCTCTCTTCTTCGCCGGAGTTGGGAGGAAAACAAACAAAATACAGAGATACTCGGAGGAAAAAGAAGCAGCATA